ACCCCCGCACTGGTGACAAACCCCCCCGGGTCCCTGGTCGTGGCACTTTTGGCACTGCGTCTTCGCTCCCCCTGCGCCCGCATGCCATTGGGGTGTCTTCCGGCGTGTTCCGCAGTCAGCGCACCGCCCAGGTTCGTACGCTTCTGCCGCCACCTCCTTCTTGCCTGAGGACTTGGGCGCACCCACTGGCGGCCTCCCTCGTTTCCGCTTCAAGTCTCCAGTGGGTTCACTGCTTTCTGTCTCCTTCTGCAAACCCTGATTTGGGGAAGGCTCCAGTGCTGCGACTGTTGGCCCCTCGTTGTGCGGCACGCTCCCCTCCGCTGAATTGCCCCCGCTCCGCGCCCTCCTGTTCCTTTCGTACTCGCGGTTGTAACACTTGCTGCACGTGTTCCCGCCCCCATACCACCTCCTCGACTCCGTCACCCCGCACCCAACGCACTGCTGCCCCACAGCGTCAGCGGCCCCCTCAATGTCCACATCACATTCTTCCTCCGAGTGTTCTGCTGCAAGGGCACTGTCTGGGGTGGGATCAGGCCCTCGCTTTGCGGAGCGCTTGTGAATCTCCCGAAGCGATCGCTTCTTCTCTGGCGCCTCGACTTCCACCTCTGCTTCCACCGCCGTCTTTCTTTTCGCATGCTTTGCACCAAAGTGCTCTCCATCTAATGTCATGCTGCTCATCTGGCCGAGGCGCCGTTTGCTCCGACGTGCACCCTCCACATCCTCAGGACTGCCGCAGTGCGCAAGTCCCACTCTTGCACGCCGGCTGGAGCGAGAACCCCTCCCCTCTGAACTGCTCCCGCTTCTTCTCCTCTGTGCTGCTCGCTTTCCTGCCCGGCTGACGAGGGCAAGTCCATTGGCACCGCGCTTCCCTCTTGCTGCCCACCCAATGCGGCCACTTTCTCAGGCGCCGATGCATTTTCTTCCGGGGCCGAGTCCTTGAGCTTGACTGATGTCTTGCCAAGGTTCTCAGCGGTTGGTGAGATGCTTGTGGTCTCAATCACACCCTGCGCCTCGTCTTGTGAAGCCCTAAAGATTGCTGCAGACCTCTTGATTGTTGCTTCAGGGTTGGGACGCGCGTACCCAATCGTTTTGCCACCCTTTTGGACGATCGTACACATCAGAGGGGGCGGGGGCTCTGATTTTCTCTTTGCATCTGTTGCATTGCAGGTTTTGCAGATGAGAGGGGATTCATTGTCCTCCTGGCAAACAAACCACCGGCGGCTCTTGCGCTCCTTGTACACGCTGCACTCGTTTGTGAGCGCAGCCACCATGTTCAACACAATCAAGGCTTCTGCTGCGTCAATTGCCGGCAGTACCCTACCCAATGCTCTTCTTCTAGGCTAGAGTCTAGAATTGGGGACACCTAGAGGAAGCACCGACAGTGGTGGCAGAGGAAGTCACACACCTTTGTGGGTTGAAAGGTGAAAGTGTATCCTAGTGCCTTTAAGAGTGGTTTTGAAGAAATGTGAAACTTCTACTCAAAAGGAGAGTCCCTTAAAGAAGCCATGTGAGGCAGGCCAGCCGCAAAGATCGACTCGTGAGTTGTGATGGAAGTTGCAACTTGCACAATTGAAGAATCAAGATGATGGATCGAGTCCGAGAACTTCGGAGAAGCTGCAATTCCAGTGGCAGAAGTTGCTGCTTCTGCTGCTCTGTGATATAAGCAATAATCAAATTTGCAGTTTAATATATTCATGCGGACCAGTGGCAGTGGCTGTGAGAAAACGGCCTTCCTCCGCTGTATTGAACGAAGGCGTCACTGTCCGATAACCGGTTTAATTTCTGTGAAGCCGCCTTGATTTTTTCCAACCTAGAGACATTTGATTGATTTATGCTAACATGAGTCGGGAAATCGCAACCGGAGCCTCTACGAGGGGGGTCGCAGGGTCATACCCCGGTGGTTTGTGCGCGAGGCTGAGAGGCCCCGACCCCCTTGACCGAGGTCGGGAGGGGGAGAAAACTTGTGAAGCCGCCTTGATACAAATTCGAAAAAGGTGACGGGCCTAATACGCCTTTTGAAACGGGAGCTGCCCGTCACGTTTGTGTTTCAATGTACGTATAAGCATGCCGTCCCCATAATGTCACGTTATTTATATATGCGCACATGAAGTTGCCCAGTTTCGCCCCAGATACTGTGAAAAGAAGGGCGGAGCCACAGTGGAAAGCAGATTACAAATACGGTGTGTTCAGTCACGAATTGCCCACTGGCGCCAGGCCAGCCAGCAAGTAGGGAAAAGGCAGGGTGCCACAATGCCAGGCGACAGCAGAGGGTGCGCTTACAAGCGTGTACTTGAGTCAGGAAGATGACGTGATTGGGTGGCAATATGGACTAATCGTCCCACCCAGTGCTGAGATCTTGAGAATTTGGGACTCCACAGCATTGAGGCCTCTTTGAAACCTGCTTCAGCCTTCAGCACTCTCGATTTTTGGATTTTGAGATCTGCTTTATGAATCCATGAGCATGGCGGCCAACAATCGCTCTGCAAGCGGCAGCCCTAAGTTGCCGCTCATGGGGTTCACCTGTGAGCCCTGGCTACAACGACCTGTCATAATTGCTGCAAGCTGCTTAGTGTTGGGCATTCTGCTTGTCGCCGTCATCCCGTACGGCACGAGAGCGTCAGAAAGTGGAGGAGCCGGCTACTCAGCAGGGATCTTTCCACACTCCGCTGTGCAGCAAGGGCTTCACATGCTGGCAGGCAGAGGATTTGATGTGAAAGGTGGGTCTATAAAATGAGGCCCTGTCGGATCAACAGCGGTGCGTATAAGCATGAAATGTTCAGCTCCTGAAGCTTCCACTGACAGATCAGGTCCGGGCACCTCGGTTCTCTGAGCTAAGTCTGAAGACTGAAGATTCCAGAAAGTGTGAAATGCACTAACGTAGTCTTTGCAACCTGCATTGTTGAATGCTGAGTGTTCGACGGCCAACTGGCCTAGTCACTGTTGTTGAGGACAAACTTTTAGAGAACTAGCTGTTAACTTGCATGCTGGCTGTTGGGGCAGTCATTTGGTCTACGCCCATTAAAGTTGCAGCATTGCCACGCTATTGAACATCCTGACACAAAAGTTTTCAGCTCAAGTATCATCTTATCTGCGCATGCCTCTCCTCCAAAACAGCAGCTTGACCTTTCCCCCTTTTCGCTGTGAGTGTGCATCCTCTATCTAGAGACCATGTGCATCAACGCTATCGCTTCGTGCAGCTTCATGGGATTCTGAGGCGCAGCATGAGCGATTGCTTAGAGAAGCGATCCAAACAATGGAGGAGAACATCATCCGAAGGGAGAGCTACATCAGTCCCTGGCACACCGGTCATATTAAAGACGCGAAGGTGAGAGCACGTATACAAAGATCCATACAGCAATTCATCTTTACAGATCGATCACTGAATGGTAGGGTGCAAAAATGCTTTGGTTTCTTGACTTATTTCGAATGAAATTGAGGAATTGTTTCTTTCTTCGAGTTGTAAGTTTGTTGTTGGAGGGGCCTCAATGGGTTCACCTTGCACCCCATGATCTGTCTAACTCTCCATCCCAGAAAGGACACCGTTTCCGTAGACCACGTGCCAGTGCTCTTTGCCTCCAAGATTAGCATCACATCAACCATAAGATGGGTCATAGAAGCCATGGATCTCAGTCAATCTGGACATCAGGACTTGCAAGTGGCTAATACAAGCATGACAACCCTCAGTGGCGCGTCCGAAGCTTCCTGAGTAAGTTTCTTTCGTTGCAGGAAGTCTACCTAAAGGAACTTATGGAATACTGGGTGCCCATCTATCCATGCTACCACGAAGTCCGGTACGGTTTGATGGGGGACGGCGGAAAGTGGGTGTGCAATGCGCACAGGCTTAACGAACAAAGCATTATCTACAGTATAGGGAGCAACGCGCAGACAGATTTTGAAATGGAATTGATCGGCGTTACTGGAGCAGAGGTCCACGTTTTCGATTGCACATTGAAGGAGGCGGACATTGCGAAAGTGACCAGCCTGTCCCCGCGCCTCATTTTCCACCCCTGGTGCCTTGCAGAAGAAACGAATCAGGCAAGTAACGTGTGCGGCAATCCACCTTAGACTTGGTCCGATTTTCTCTAGCTTCTCGAATCTGCTGACTAGATCGGAACACATGCTTCAATAAAATCTGAGAAGAACATGTAGACTTCGTCCCGGGACCCTGCCCCATTGGCAGTACAGAGGATTCCGCTGGCAGCTTCCATCTTAGAAAATCTGAGAGCAAAGGAGCGGGATCTTTCTACTCGGCTGTGGCAGAAATTGTGCAGCTCATCAACACCACGTTACCGCTCACAAGGTACATGTTTGGTTTACTTGGCTTGTCACTGTGCAGGATAACAATGTTTACAGCCTGACGGACATCATGCTGAATCTCGGCCACACCTTTGTGGATGTGCTGAAAGTCGATTGCGAGAGATGCGAGTACACAAGCTTCAAGTCAATTTTGACGCGGCCAGTCTCTAATCCACCTATTGGTCAGTTTCTAGTGGAGACTCACAACGGGGCTGCCGTAGACAAAGACGATCATAAGATTGTTGACACGTTCCTTAGGGAGTTGGAGTCCGCAGGGTTCCGATTGTTCCACTTGGAACCAAACTGGCGATGGTGGCCTCCAGGTGCTGAATGGGCATTTGTCAATCCTTCAAGGTTGGGATAGGCAAAGTCCACAGAGTAAAACGCTTCTGTTCAGAATCTGAACAGATCAGTGAGTGAGTGATCTGAATGGATATGAGTGTCACAGCAGCCACCTGACTACACCAGCTAGCTAATTAGGAGCGCCTCAGGCTAGTCGACAAAAGGACTGGATCTAAAGTTTGACAAACCAATCTCTTACGATCGGCGATCTCTAGTTGTTTGCTAAATGAGCAATACGGAACTTCGAATACCGTGACCGCCAAGCTAGTTGCATACAATTTGATCTGAGTCTGGCCAAAGTTTGTCAATCGCCTATTCCGGCGGCGGACCAGCTGGCCAATCTCACATTCAATGATTCGTTTTCGCTAGAAAGTACCGTACGACATGATAGTTGAGCACTGTAACTGATTCCGATCGATCGTGCATTAGCTATAGCGGTATCTGACGGTATATGTGAAGATCGACGATATGCACACCAGAATGGTTGGTAACCACATTTTATCCGACGTACCCGTAAGCAATGCCTGCATGCGCATCATATACTTTATCATGTATAGCCTGGCCGGTCTCTGGCATGCAGTCGCTAAGCTTGCAGACTAACTTGAGCATGTTGAGCTAAATACACCGTCATCACGAGGCTCCGAGGCGATCGAGCACTTATGACGTCGCCGAGCTAGCCAAGTGACGTTTGCAAGCGGCGTCATTCGATGATTGCAGAATCAGCGGCTAGCTTTGCAGCACTGGTTCGTCCAGCCGGCCGGGCCGTAATCAGACTCAGAGGCCCAGTGTCCCAGTGTCGAGCTTGCGTCATTCGTGTGCGTCTGTAGAAGTCTAAGATGTAGTTTGCTTCTTGGGATGCATCCCACCATGAACAAACAGCGTACTTTGTGATTTCCGAAGTTCGTAATGTCCGATGCGGATGAGTTCCGTGTGTCGAACACAGGCTAACAGTAAGAGGTTGATATAGTTATAGCTTTGCATTGCCCAAAGCGAAACATACAGATAGAGTTTGTGGATCAGGCTGGTACGTGGCCTTCCGATGAATAGCATCACAGCATTCTGCCTTCCCTGCTCCGAGTAGTGACAACATTCTGCCTGGTACGACTCATTCGCCCCCATTCGGGCGTGTTGCTTGCGGGCCGCTCAATCGCGCGTGGCCCCGAAAGAAGAAAAGATGAAAAGAAACGTCCAACGCTTTTGATTTAAGGTCGAACTTCCCTAATTCGGAGATTCAAAACCCTATTGCCCGTAGTTGAGAATTATGCCAGACGTCTTCGTTCATATCTCGAGCTTCGCTTCATCTTTTTGAGATTCGTCTTTTGCATGAGCAAGGACACATGAAATTCTATCTATAGAGCTCTAGTCGGCAGAAATCAGGTACTCTGAGTACATGCCACGACATGCTCAAAACATGCTATTTGGGGCGTTTTGAAGCAGCGGGCACGTTTACGTATCGGCACCCGGGACCGTCTGACCAAAAAATTTGGAATGAGAAAGGGGGGAACTTGCATTCTACCAGTAAAGACTTGTTTGGAACATTCCCCAACAAATTTTGACTGAGGAATTTTCGATGGGCACCATCACTTCTCGGCGGAGCGCCGATTTCACAGGTTTTTGCGCTTCTGTCCAAAAGTGATGAGTCGTGGGAGGCAAGGCACACAGGGGACTAGG